TTCTACGGACGGATGGTGTTGACAGGTTTACGTAATTATACAATTCTAGGTCATTCCACAGTTGGGAGGATCGGACTAAAAAGGATAAGTGATATAGAAGGAGGACGTGGAGGGGTGAGGAAGAGGGGAAGGGGGGGGGGGACGACCCTGGCCAGGCTGGCTGGATGAATATCCGCTACCCCATGTAAATGGAACCCACTCGGGTTTAAAATTCATGCTCATGACGTAGAGAAGTCCTCCTGCGCCGCCGCTCTCCCCTCACCCTCCTACCGGGTCCCTCTGCCTCACCCCCTTCCCGGAAATGAATGCCTAGCTCGCTGGGGAGGACTTTCGTCAGACGTGTGCGAGGTTGCGGTTGGAGGTGGTGAGACAGCGGAGCGGTGAGCGCTGCTACACTTTTGTTGGCAGTTCTCGTGTCGTGGGTGTGCTTACGCGCGGCCAACTTGGACGGGTGGGGGAGGAGGAGCCCTCTCTCCTCCGAGCGGCGGCCGGGGCGGCCCGGGGCGGCACACCAGGCCCTCCCGCTCCCCCACTTCATCATAAACGCGAATTTGCGGGCGAATTTTCGAGTTGTCTAACTTGCGCGACAGTCTCCGGTAATTTGCACGTAAGACCCACCCCCGCCTGGACTGCCTCGTCCCCGCCCGCCCCTGCCCCCGCCTCTCGGAAGCCTGAGCTCGGTTCCTCTAGGACGGCTGGAGCCCAAGCTCATCTCTCAGCCCTTTACCTCTCCACACCGGTGCCATCAAGGATCCTCCCCCTCGCCCTCCCCACGCTCACTCTGTGCCTCCGAAGGCCCCTGCTGTGCTTTTGGGCTCTCGGGCGTAAAGCCTCTTCGGTAATCAAAAATTTGGGGGAAGAAATGTTCGCCCCAAGAACGGATCATGAAAGCTGGCTGAACATTAACTTATTAACTTATCTTTATTTAATTTGTTCGGAATGCTTCTAAGGAAGCCACGCGACACAGTCGAGAAATCTAACCCCGCATTCACCCACGAGAGCGAGCTATATGGCAGGTGTTACTGCAGAGGACGGCGACGTAGGTGGGCCGCTCTGTAGGTAGGTACACGCCCTCAAGCGGCAACGCCCACGCAGCATGCTCGCGCTAGGAATAGGCGTTGTCGGGTTCGACGCCTATGTGTTCCTAGAATAAGAAAATGGGGGAGGGGTTAGATTTCTCGACTGTGTCGCGTTGCTTGCCGCGGTGGCATTCTGAGCAACGCCTGGGGGCTAAGGGACGGTGGCGTGGGGGTGGGCAGGCCG